GTCAAAGAAACTTTTTAAAACCCACATTGAAAAGCAAACAAAACAATTTTGAAAACACATTGAGCAAGTATCTAAGAGCCCATGGATAACCATGGATAGAAAGGGTGCTAACACCTTCCCTTTCTATAACCTACCTCCCGAACCGAGAGCAATCTCTTTAAGGAATTTTTCTGTGCTTTTGTCCTTTCCATTTGGAGAAAATAAAAGACGGTGGCGACTCTTGCTTCCGCGACATTTCGCGAACCAGCTTTAAAACAGTCAGTTCCAGATCCACCGATCACACATGCTAACATTTGTTTGAGTTTATATAGAACAGTTATGGATGGTTGAATCAGATGATCCACGCAAGAATCTGAAAACACCATAGTTAGAGCATGAAGCTTTCGAAGATTCAGGCCTAGGGATTTCTGATGATTGCATCCCCTGTTTACTTTTGCTACTAGGCCCATCTTTATTTTCTTGTTTTATTCATTTCATTTATTTCTTTTAATCCCTTTTTTTTATTTTTATCAATAAACAAATATAAAAATCACATAAAAATAGATTTAGAATTTTTTTCTTAATTAAATTTTAATTATTGTAAATTAATTAACTAAACACTTTAACTTTTTTTTAAAATTAAAATTAATAGAACTTATGTTTAATTTCATTTTAATTCATTTTCCTTTTCGTAACAAAAATACCAAAAAACATAGAATTAATTTCTTTTATTTAAATTTCATGTATCTTTAATAATTATCTTTTTTTTAAAATATAGATCTAGATCAATTATTTTTTAACTTAAACCATTTTTATAAATTAAAATAAAAAACAACAAAAAGATTTTTTTATATCTTAGGATTTTTAGACGTCTTTTCAAATTTGCGAGTTATTATTCTTTCGCACTTCATTTTATTATTGTAATTGTATATTTGGGATGTAATAGATGATTAGTAGGACCTTTACCGCTTTTATTTATCCCCCCCCCCCCCCCCCCCCCAGTTTTGGATATGTACATAATCCCCCTCCCCGAAGCCTTGTAATAGCTAGGTTTTATATTTCTGCACTTTTAAATTACTGCAATTATTAACTGCTAGATGTATGACTAATAGGATTGTATGGCAAGAATAATCAAACATTAGCAAACTTAACACAAGACTAAAATAACTGAACATAACACACCTTGCACATATGCACCCTTAGGGTATACCTCACTTGGTTGCCTCGGAAAATAATGGTCATGTCCCTCGAATATATGGATACCCTTAGCAAAGACTCTCGGTTAAAGTCATCATAAAAGATCATGGTCCCTTACTGTCCCTCGAGTTGCCTATGGTATATGATCTTGTCCCTCGATGTTGCCTACAAATATATGATGACAGTCCCTTCGAAATGCTAAGGTATCCTTACATGTTGCCTTCAATGACCATTACGTCCCTTTCGAATTGACCCTTACAAATTCCAACGACGGTGCTACCTATTTCTCAATAGTAGGATAGCACTGTCTAAAGGAAACAAGAATAGAAACGATCTTTTTTTGAGTAGGTAGATGCTAGTATGTACTTGCTCAAATAAAACTTTTTCACACCAAACACTTTTCAAACAAAGTTTTCAAAAATACTTCGTAACACTCTTGAAGACAGAAGCAAGGGTTAAAATGAAGTAAAACAAACTTTTTAAAACAAAGCACACACACAAGCAATTTAAAAAGATGAGCAAGTACCTAAGAGCCCATGGAAAACCATGGATAGAAAGGGTGCTAACACCTTCCCTTTCTATAATTCACCCCCGTACTCAGAATATCTCGAAAAAAGGATTTTTTCTGTACTTTTTTCCTTTCCGGTTGGATGAAATAAAGTCAGTGGCGACTCTTTCTTACTGCGACATTTTGTGAATAAAAAAACGCAAAACGCAAACCAGTAAAAACAGTCGGTTCTGCCACCGTATCACACACCCCAAAATGCTAGCCACGTGGCTCAACCATCAAACACGAAATCCTTTATGGACTGGCGAGCAAACGCTCGACTCCTACAAGTTACCCATAAACGTAGGGGGCTAACACTTACACGGGGAAGTGCTCGGCACTAGAGTGTGCAAAGGGGCACATTCTCTTGGCCATCTCGGAGACGAGGAAATGCTCGACAAACTAACAACTCCCAGTAGGCGGGCGTGTCAAAGGGGACCTCACCAAGGCCCCTCACCGCCAATATGTCCTCTCGAGCAAGCGGATGAGCCTTCCGATCCTGATCCCTGTCTGTTCATGATATTCCCTGACATATTTGAGCCTACCCCCCGCGGACAATGATTCGCTCCCTTCAGGAATTTTGACCCTCTACCCCAACCAAGCCTTCGATAACAAGAACTAAACTCAAGTCACTGCCCTCTAACTCGAGGACAATAACTTGGGGGACTCCTGATCTGGACTGGGCCTACATTTACCCTACAAACAAAAGGCCCAAAGACGACCGGAGTTAGAGATTATGGGTCAACTCCTCATCCAACCGTTAGGGGACCTGGCCCACCACCTCTCAACGGACATATCAAACTGTCCTCCGAGAATCTCGGGTCCAACCCTATTCTTGCGGAGCGGTTGACCAGGGGGGAGTCCACTTGTTGGACTCCATACTCACGTAAACTCTGGCAGTTCCCATTATTGGGCCTCTGCGTGGCCCAATAGTGGTGACCTTGGCCCATCGCTGAGGGCTATAAATATCCTCTCTCATGAGAGGGTTAGGTATTCAATCATTCACACCTACATTCATACTTGCTTGCTCATTCCATCTCTCACTTTGCCATCAGAGTGTCTTGCAGGTACCCTCCATCTCCTTCAAATCCATCCCGAAGCCAACTGTGACGGTCCAAATCTGATCAGGTCAGATCAGTTACAAATATTTGTTTTTGTGTAGTTTTAACAAAGGGTACAAATATTTCAAGATATCATGCAGGAGTGTAGATATTCATTTAAAATTGAAATTTAATTGGTAGTTGTCATTGTAGGTTTGTAAAAATTGTAAATATAATATAATAAGAAAAATTTAAAATTAATATTTGAGGGGAATCTGTAATAAATATTAGGTTTGGAAAAATTGACTAATATCTGGATTAAACTGGAAAAATAATTTTATTCTTTTATGCAGTTTTGAAATTAACTCATCTGAATTCAACTGAGTTTTGTTAACTCATCTAGATTTACATGGAGATGTGAACGTATCTATGAGATATCACTGGTCATTTTAATATTCATCTTTTAATTATATCTTTTGTTGTTGTTATATATAATTGAAGTTATAAAAATGATTGTACGATTTATTATAACTATGAATAAATGCTTGAAAGTTAGTAGTGAAAAACGTAATGTGAATTTTGGTTCAAAATACTATTTGATTCAAAATATATTGAATTTTGATTGAATTTTATTAGTTTATCTTTGATATATATAAATGAATTTTACAAATCAAAATTAAATATATCTAATATGAATTCAGACGAGATCCGTGCGATAACACAAATTTCTTACTAATTCTCATTAAAAAAAATTAACCTGGACAAAAATTGTTAAAATCCAATGGAATTAAAATCTAAAATCTTTTAAAAATATACTCCCAAAACCCAAACTTTAGTCAACAATATTATAACTTTTGAGTTTTAGTTGATAAAAAGTTTGATATCCTTGAAAACAATAACCCATAGTTTTTAAATAAATTATTAAATTTTATTTTTTTTCTATAAAAAATTGATATGTTTTAGTCTTTACAAAATTATTATATACGTAATTTTAATTTTTGCCGTTAAATCGATGTGTAATTTTAAATGATCATTTTGTAGACATGCTTAGGACGTTATAAAAAGTTCTTCAGAAATAAAGAACATGAAATTTGATTTTTAAGTCGAAATTTTTATTGCTATTATAAATATATTTTGAAATTAAAAAATTTATATTCATATTTTTTTTATTTTAAAAATTCTAAAACTTCGTAAATAAATATTTTATAGTATTCTAAATATTTATGAAAAACTTATTCAAAAATTTAAATTTTTTAATAATAATTAAACAGTTTTTAAAATTTTAGAAAATAACATAGACTAGAATTGTATGAATAAATTTTTTATAAATATCAAAATATATTATTTTTATAATATGAAATAAAAATGAAATTTGAGATATTTATAAAATTAAAAATATATTTAACCCCGAAAAATATGACCAATAGATTTTACTTATTCGGTTTCAAAATATGTATTTCTTTAAACTAAACTAAAATATTTGTCCTAAAATAAATATTATTTTACTTTTTCAATATAATATTAATTAATTTTTATCAATTTTATTCTTAATTAATTATGTCCGCATTACTCTCAAAACATTAAATTTTATTTTACTTTATAATATAAAAGTAATCAATAATCATTAAAATTAATTTTGTAGATGTGTAATCTTTCACTTATTACGGAAGAAGAAGTTGATAAAAAGTTTGATTATCATTAAAAAGTTTGTTTTGAAGTCACTTAATTAAATTATAAAGTGTAAAAAGAAACATTTTTATTTGTATAACATGAGGAGTGTGCAAAACTAAAAAGCAGATTAGTCATAGGGAAGCACACAACAAAAAATAAAACCGTGTGAACTGAAGAAAAAAAAAAAAAAAAAAAAACCTAGTGGGTTTTGAATTGAAAGAGGAAAAGAAAAGTTAGAGTAGGATTATAGGAGAGACAAAACGGTGAGTATTACCAAAAAGAGGAACAAAGAGAAACTTGAAAATGCCCTTTCACCTTCCTTCATCAAACCCCTCCTCAATGCCTCCTCCCACTCCACCACAACACCCCAACCATTCAATTTTCTAGACAACAACAACAACACACACTCTTTCTCTCTCTAGAATTCAATATATAACAACAAACAACAACAATTTCCACTAGTAACACAAATAAATCAAATCCTACTGACTCAAAGTGGAAAACCTTGGCTACCAACAAACTATGGAAGAAGACGATGACAATGACGCGGTTCTTCTGGCGGTAACATGCAATCACCGTTCTACCCTTCCCCTCTCCCGCCTCTTCGACTTCCCTCTGTAAATCCCAACCGTCCGTTCATCAACATCAACAGCTCCCTCATCTCTCTTCATTGCGTCCCTAAAGGCAGACAGGATGGAGCCAGGCATAATATAATATCTCTATATTTTAATATTTATTCTCTCTCTCTCTCTCTCTCTCTCTTTTTTTTCTTCTTTCAGTTTTCATCATCAACAACACTTCTTTTATTTTTCTCTTTATTTTCCTTCTCATCGACCATGGATTTTGTTGTTATTATTCTCCAAAACTAGAAATGCAAAAGGTTTTCTTGATTTATTGACTTAAATTTTGTATTTATTTATTTATTTATTATTATTGCATATTTCTTTTCTCTAGTGTCTGAATGTCATTTAGTTTTTTTTATATATATATATTTTTTGGATTTGTTGAAACCAATAATGTGGTTTCTTAAAATTTTGTTGTTGTAGTTGTTGCTGTTTATGTTGACTGTGTGTTTGGTATGATTTTAGAACAAGATGAGGATGGATAAATAACTCTTTTTTAAAATTATTTTTAAATTTTTATTTTGTGTTATTATGTATGAAATAATGTACGAGGGTAGGGGGAAAAGGGGAAAAAAACATAGATCAAAAGTGGTCCAAGAATGTCAGTGAGCATTGTTGCGGAATTGAAAATCTCTGCTCACTGTTTCTTCCCTTTTATGCTTCACTGATGTGTAGCAGTTGCAGTATGAATTGACACTGGTGGGGCTTTTTTTTTCTCACACTATTATATTATTTTTCTAATTTCTCTTGATTAGGGTTACCATACTATAAAACATGTTCTTTTTAGTTTAAGATCTGTCTTAAGAAAAGGGTATACAGTGTTTTAGGTCAAAGAGAAAACTTTGTTTAACTATAAATATTTTGAAATTAGTACTATAATACTATTACTAAACTATAATTCTTTTGTATTTTGCTGGTCTAATTTTGTGAGTGTTAAATCCCATTTGTGTTTTTACTCTTGTCACACATCATGCTTTTTGCGTATGTAGCATGACAATGACACTGACACGACACTGGTATGATCCATCAATCCATCAATATCGGTCAATTACACGAGATTAGAAGTGTTGATGTTACATGTAGCTCTTTATCACTTCCATTCTTTAGCAACATATCACCATCTATCTAATCATAGAATTGATTTTCATTCTTTAAAATGTTTGATTTTGAAGAATATATATGATAATCATACAAGAATTTTCCTGGATTATTGGATATAAGATGGGAATTCCTAGAGCTAATTTCTTACTGTTTTCAACTTTTAGTTCTTTTGTACTCCTAAAGTTCTTTTCCTCTGGATTACAATTTTCTTAACTATAATGTGCCATCATCATGTGTAGTCTATAACCGATTAACATATGCAGTTTGTCTTGTTCTTAACTCTGTCATTGTGTCCCACTAAATGTTTGTCCTCATCTTAAACTGTTCATTTTTGTGTTCATGTTAGGTGAGTTGGTTGTGGTTTTTGTTTTATTACTGTTAAGGCAAAGCAGCAGATTTTCCCAATTTTCCTATTATGTTCTGAATTTTGCTTCTGTTTTCAATCTTTGTCCTAATAGCATATTTGTGTATATACACCAGTATTTCACATGCTATTTATTGAACGATTCCTTCCTCTTTCTTTGTTGTATATGTTGTGTTGATTTAGGGCTCACTTTGTGTCCCTATAAAGTTTGAAGACGCGTTTGGTGTCTGACATGTGTTGATCATAAATATTATCTTTGTATCAAAAATCTCGATGTTGACCACATTATCTTTTTCTGATCGTAGCACTCTTAGGCACCCTTTGGCATGTAGATCTTACGATCCAGCACTTGATTTTGATTATCCTGATTGTGATCATAATTGTTTCACTGTTTCATAACACACAATACAATAGGCTGGAAGGCATGTTTGGTGTGTAACACGTATATGCATGTCTATGTTTGTATGAGTTCTTCATTTCTTGTTTCATTTTTATAAATCTGTTTTTCTTTTGACATTGGAAGCTTTAAATGGGTGCTGTTAATTTGTATCCGACTCTTTGTCTTTTATTTTTGAATTGAAGGGTTTGTAAGCATATTTTTGGCAGCTACTACCCTTTCACATGTATCCAATTAAAGTATTGGTGAACTTTTTACATCAAATATCAAAAGGGGTGTAGAAAGTGCTATAAATTAGTAGCATTAGTGATCTGACCCCGATGTAATTAATACAAAATTGAAATGGCACATGGAAATGAATGCAGCGTAAATAGCGGTCAGTAATAATACTAGTATTATTGTTTGTTGCCCCATTGAGTAGTGGGTACTCTTAAAGTTTGTTTCTCACTTTAACATGATTCTATATTGTTTTGTTTTGAAACTGAATTGAAGGAGAGTGTACAAGGCTACAGGCTCTCATTTTCTTCATGTGAGTTCCACTTTTTTCGGTATAGTGGCTTTGTTGTTGTTTTATGGTGACTTGATTGGTCATTGATTTTCTTATGGCTGCAACTACATATGACCCATAATTATGGATCGATGGATACGTTACAACTTACAACATCTGACAAATATTGGATTTTGTTTTTTTTGCTAAACCATAACTTGAATGCTAAAAATTTTGAACTAACAATTTGTAGCAATTTTCTTTTGGCTTTGAAACTATTTTAATGTTGCAACTACATTATCGCTTTTCATGAACAAAATTCAACTCTTTCAACTCATAGAGGAACAAAAGACCGATACAAGATTGTTCAAACATCTTTAGACACAAATCAAAACTAAGGTTGCTAAATGAAATTATGGTGAGGAAGATGCCACGAGTGCAATAAAGGTGTTGGCACTTAACGAATATTTTAGAACTAACCTCGTGCTAAATGAAATTATGGTGAGGAAGATGCCAAGAGTGGAATAAAGGTGTTGGCACTTAACAAATATTTTAGAACTAATCTAATGAGGAACTTCAAGAGTTTCTAAGTATCATTAGCAGTAGTGGATCATTAGCACTAGTGAGTTGTTAATAAATTTCATTAATATAACATGAATTCTCTAGTACAACTTCATCTTTAATATTTGCCCAGTCTTCTTCAGGATTCACCGGTATTGAATTATCTTTAGTTGTGACTATTGGAGAGAGTCTATCCATTGCTATCTTCTTTCAAAGTCTTGCTATCCATAGACATCCAACCAAAATACGGTGTTCGCTCTCATGTCAGTTGAAATTTTGTTCGATTAGAAAAAAGATGTCTCACACAATCTTGAAACAATGTGACCAATGAGATAATAATTTAAACAAATAATAGATAAATATCATAAATAGTTGGTAATCCACTTTGGTGCAACACCAACTATGTTTGAAAGAATGTAGTCTAAAGGAAAATAAATTCACTAATTCAAATAGTTAATAGTACACATCGGTATCATATGAACTCTCCCAATTAAGTGTCTCTCTCAAGTGTCTGCAAGAATCAATTATTTATGGTGTGCCAAAAATCACAATTACCAATCAAATACTTCGTCTCTCTAAAATATGAAGTACTTGTTGAACACATGACTCCGTACACAATGGAGTGGTGAATTCAGGAGGTTTGAAAAATGAGTTTAAAACAAAATTATCTTCTAAAACAGAGTTTGAAAATATTTTAATTAAAATGTTTGAATATGCAACGAAAAGTAAAAGAGTTAAGGGGAGAGAGATAACACCAAGAATTTATAGAGGTTCAATTTTAAAGAAGTGACATGTTCCTCTCTCCAAGAATTAATCGTGAGGGCATATGATAATGCTTGAGAGATTTTAGAAGGCTAAGCCCACAAACCCTTTTATACAAGGAAAATAAAGTTTCAGACTAACTTCTAACCAAACAGCGAACTATTGAATGAAGTAGTTAGTCTTTACTCCAAACAACGAGTAAAACTTTGATCAGTTAGTCCTAAGTCAAACACTGATTTTGCACATGCTAATCTTGAACCAAGATAGAGTTTTGAGTTGGTCATCCTCCAAACTGAACCGAGGTTTTATATAGAATGACCATGAACCGATCCAAGTTTTTACACATGATGACCACGAATCGAATCAATATTTTTACCGGGCTGATTTCGAGCCTATTGAACTTTTACACAGGATAAACTCAGAAACCAAGTGAAATTTTATACCAAGTTAATCTCGAACCGATGAAGCTTTTTTTCAGGATGAACTCAAGAATTGTAATGAATATTTTTCTATAGTAATTCATCATGAACCAATAAGAGAGTTTTTCTTCAATGAAGGAACTCACAAACCAAATAGAGACTTATACTAATCCTCAAAAGAGTTTTTAGATTGACTTAACTCTAAACCAAAATAACTACTTTATAAGTAAGAATAACTTACTCAAGAGGAAAAAGAACTCTTGATAAATTTACAATAAATCTCTCACCCATAATAATTTCCTCAATTAACTCACGAACACTCTAAAAGAACTATTGCTAAAATATGTGAGTGAAAGATAAATAATTTTGTAGAGGTAGATAGAAAGGAAAATTGAGGTATTTCACGTTTTCTGGATGGTGTTAAATGTTACTGAAACCCTCTATTTATAGGCCAAGAGATGATGTATTTATCGAAATAATTCATGAGCCAATTACATGACTTAATTGATTAGGTACTTGCTATAATCGATTATTGATGCCCAAATTGAAAGGTTTAATTAGAGATCTATTACTATTTATTAAGACACTATCACATTGATTATAGACTCGATTATAAATATCTAATCGATTAGACAATTATAAAACATTTTTGGTGATTTTAATTGAAAAAGAGAGGCTTCAATAATCATTTCTTAGTACGTGTTCCATTCGGGAACCATAAATATGCAATTAGAAACTGATGATCTTGAACGATGGCTATGATCTCCTTTATGGTGGCGTTGTGTGGAACTGTATGGTTAGCACTCCAAAGCCCAAGTCAATTCAAGATTCAAGAAGAGTGTAATGAAAAGTGAAGATCATAGATTATACCTTGTTCTTAGTGTATAAACTGATTTTATACCTTGGGTCAAGTAGAGTGAATTTGAGGTAGATTGAGCCTTAGTCATTCCGACCTTTGGCTGGCCTCGAACAATTTCCCCCAAGACTTTGTCGGGCACCGGAGGAGCTGGGGGAAGCCTCAAGTAATGCTTTCCAACCTCTAGGACATGGTCTGATGTGAAATGTAACTGAAACACTTGGAATCAGTTGAAAAAATTAGCGGGGATCAGGCACATTAAATGCGGTCCCATCATTGAAACACTTCGTCACCCTCTT